AATAATGTCAACATACTGGAAAGAAAAGCATTGTATGTTGACCCCATGGCAGGAGTAGTTTCAAGGACTAGTATTTAGAATTCCCTCATAGATGGGAACACAGCTGTGCAAGTTTACATCCTGTAAGGGGAGAATCACAACACATTTCCTTCTGAAATATTTCTGAAAATTAATACATCCAGATGTTATTAGGCATTTAATACCAAATTGAAGGCATCTTACTGTCAAGGGAGTAGCTACTTGAGCACACATGCACTATCCTAGGAGTTGCACACACACCGTTGTGAGTCTTTCCTGCTAGGACCTCAGTCCCTTCACAGCAGGTGACTCCCATGAGCCAACAGGTGCCCCTTTTGACTTCTTTCACATACACCTTCTCACTCACAGGTGCTTCACTTGCCCTCAGGTTCAACCCTACGTTTACTGAAGCAGAGTGTCTGGTACAAAGTCTTATAAAGTAATTAAGTGGTACAGCAGTACCAACAGTTTGAGCTGGGTGCCTCCACAGAGGGACCCTGAACAAAGGAATGCCTAGTCAATTATACCTTTTCCCACCCCTCACATGACAGATCATGCCAACAGTAATATTTGGTTTGGGGTCTTCCCATTCTTAATTGGGTCCCTTCATTGTCTCTAGGTGGGCCGTTTTTCTCATAAAAATCCTGCTGATAATAATAGCTTACTTATCTTCTGGATTGAACCATCTCTGGGGCCTTCTTTTACTTGACTAGGTAAAAGCTCAACATAAGTTCAGCATATCTAAGTGAAACTTCACAGTTTGTGTCTTAAGGCTTCAGGAGGTTTAGCTGCTGATGCTAAGCAAGCTACTAATGCTAACAATTACTAACATTACTATTTTGTAGCTGAGAGAACATAGATGCTACTTTTGTCTCCCAGTAGCACTGATGCCAGAACAGCATCTGGGCTGTATAAGACCACCTACATAACTGTTTGAGTAATAAAATTAACTGCACTGTTCTAGCAGAGAAGCTGTGTCAGCATATCCTTAGACTTACCTGGGGCGGGGGGGAAATAAAGTGAGCCGATTGCCAAAATGCTAGGGAATAATTATTTTTACAGCAGCATTTTTTTTCCTCTAATTGTCTTCATTTTCTTTCTAGCTTTTATAACTCTGCAGGAGAACTGAATGAACCTGCCCTGAAGAAAATACTCTCAGGCTGTAAAAAGGTATTTTATTTTCAAACCTAAAACATCCCAAAGAGCTCGCTCAGATTTTGGGGGCTCTTCTGGATATCTCTTGTATCAATTTTTTTTATTTATTTTTTTTCTCTCCTCTTCTTAAAAATCTTGTATCTAGTGCCTCACAGTGCTGGTCAAGGCAGCTGCATCATCTTTTCCCCCTGAAAGAACAGTCTAGGTTATTTTTTACTAGCATTTGCTAGTATATCACATATATCACAACTTTGTTCAAATATTTCAAAGGATTTCTTCTGCTTTCTATCTTAATTGAGGTCATCTCACTCAAGTGGTAAAGCACCACTTGACCAAAAAAATGTACAGGCTTCTTCACAGAATAAAGTTTCACAAGAGGAAAGTTGAGGGCAGAAGAGACAAAATGGCAAAATAGTAGCACCAAGTTTGCAGAGTTGCATTCAGCCTGGGCAGAAGCTCAGAAGACAGGCCAGTTAAACACATGGTTTTGAAGGAGAAAAAGAAGTTGTCACATTGGAATTAGGCTTAGATGCTTTAAAGGGTTTCAAGTTAAGTAACTGATGGAGTATGTACACATCACCAGACAATTCAGATTTGTGACTTTCTACAGAATCCTCTACCTTGCTTTAATATGGCACACAGGGACAGCATGATTCAGTAGTAATAATGAATTTTCTTCTGCCTGCAGAGTGTAATAGGATGGTACAAATTCAGACGTAACACAGACCAGACCATGACCTTCCGGGAAAGACTTCTTCATAAGAATTTACAGTCACACCTATCGAACCAGGGACTTGTGTTCCTTTTATTAACATCTAGTGTGATGACAGAAAGTTGTTCTACTTACAGACTGGAACATGCCTTACATCGGCCACAAGAAGGGTAATTGGTTCATTCTCTAGTTCTAATAAGGCAGTAGCATAGCATGGGCTATAACTTGAAACAGGTGTTTGTTTTTTTCCTTTATTGCAACTGAATTATTGTTACCACCATTTATTCTACCATTGAAACTTACACCTTAAATAAGATTATTTCTCATGTTGTTAAAGCCCAGTTGCAATCTTACCCTGGAGTTGTTCAAGAATTTGCCTTTATAACTACCTGTAGTGCCAGTGTAAACTGCCAGATGCTGCCAGTTAATTGTTGCACATAAGCTGTTCTTGATCCATTTAGTTTTCTGTATAGAACTTCAACTATGCATGGTGTTCATCTTCACATATCATTGAACTATTTAAATGGGTGGTAACTTTTGGTTGTCTTCAGAGACATGCTGCTAATAGGCTAGGCTTAGCAAGCAAGTACCAGGTGGCTGGTCCTCAGGTGGGGGGGCAAAAACCTAGAGGCATTGCTTAGTCTTACTGCTCTTGCAGTTTGCTTTTAGCCACAAGTAGTCATCTACATGTGCTGTAATCCACTTGGCAAGAACTAACTGTACCATAAACCACCATCTGGGATGCTTAATGATCAAGAACCTTTATCAAAGAGAGGCCATTGGATGTAAATAAGTAATGTTTTTATACTTCTGCTTTTTAAGTCTTTTTCAGAAAGTTCCTTTGGTGGTTACCAACTTGGGTATGGCAGAACAGCAAGGTTACAGAACAGTATCTGGTTCCTGTGTATCTTCTGGTTTTGTGAGAGCAGTACGACAACACAGGTACAACAGATGCCATATTCAAATGCTACAGCCATTCCCTGCTCACTTATTGACCTGTTCCCTGCAATTCTTTACCTTTCCAAGGTACTTGGAAATTAGTTCAGTCCCATACTTTGCCACGAGAACAGGTATCTGTCTCAAAATAGGCATGTAGCATTGAAGCTTGTAATGCTTCTGTATTCATTATAGCTCCCACTATATAAGCACTGGGATGATTGCAATTACACGATTATATTTGTGGTCCACAGGTCAGAATTCTTTTATGAAGATGGATCCTTACAAGAGGTTCATAAGATAAATGAGATGTATGCCACCTTGCAGGAGGAACTGAAGGTAAGTCCAGCAGACCTGTTGATGCAGTTACTTTCAGCAGTACAAAACTAGGTCAAGCAATGGATACAGTCTTGCACTAAATGAGGAACAAAGCTGTGTCTTGGAAGAACATTCTGAAAGGTTAAGGAGTTCCATTTAGTAGTAGTAGCCGTACACTAAGTTCTCAAAGTTGAAGACTTAAGTTTCCATTTCATCAAAAGTACACAGATAAAACCTCAAGTTCACTAATAAATTCTTGTATGAGGATTAAGTCAAAGGAGTACTATCTGTAGTTTTTTAGATCTTTGTTTAGATGGGAACAAATAAAACATCTTGTACCTTATTCAACACAAGGTTTCTCTCTAAAATCCACTGCAAGCTTTTTACTTAAGCCTTTTACTACTTAAGTGTTTAACTTAAAATCCTAAGTATCTTTAAGGATTTTGCAGGAAGGTTAAAGTCTGCTTCAGTGAATGCTGTCAATTCCTTCAAATGCTTTTTTCGTTGCAGAAAATATGCTCTACAGTAGAAGTCACGGAACGATCTGTAGAGCAGCTCTTAGCAGAGGTGAGCCAATTAAAAGAAGAAATAAAGAGGAAAAAGCAACAAAGTTGTTCAGGTAAGTTAGATAAGTGTAATGCCAGTCTTAGCAAGGCTTCTGAAGTTGAATCAATTGGTAGAAGCACAAAACTTCTGAACTTTAGGAAGCCAAAACAGTAGTGGTACAAGTGTGCAAGAGGGACTGCAACTCTTAATTTTGTTTTGTTTTTTCTTTTTTCAGGAGAAGACAGGGATTACCCAGGACAGCCAAAGGAGAATATTCTCCTTTGCCAGGCTCTGCAAACATTCTTCCCCAATTCTGGACTTCAGACATGTATTGTTTCCTTTGAAGGCCAACAGATATCCAAGAACTGCTGTCACACTGACCATAATATTAATGTCATGGACAAACTGACTCTCATGGTAGAGGAAAGAGACTTAACTGAAGCTGAAACAAGACACCTAACCAAGCGTAAAGTCAGAGGGACCACAACAGGATCAAAGTCATTCAAGAAATCCAGATCGCTGCAGCTTCACCAAAAATCACTTCAAGACCAAGAGGACAGTGACCAGGAAAGGAAACTTACACTGAGTAGCACTGAGACAGATGAGGATGTGTTTGAAAAAAATAGAGACACAAATGAATACCCACACTCTCCTACTTTCTGATCTGTTAGTGATTTGTCCAAATGTCTTTGCACCAGAAGCTACTGTCAGCATATTCAAGTGACGTATCGCTTTATAGCACTGCAGGGATGAAATTAACATGGTGTGTTTTTACAAAATATACATGGTGGTTGTTTTTTTTTCTCTCCAGTGCATGAATCCTGTTTGGCAGAGACAAGTCCAGATAACATTCCCTCATTTTGCCTTCCAGAGTTAGATTTGTATTCTCTCAGCAGTACTACTCTTCCCTCAGCAGATGCTGAGGCAATGAGCATCAAATGAACCCAGGTAACATGTTCAGCAGAATTATATGTCTACATAAATTGTCACAACTTAAATACTTTATCCTTAGGTATCCAATACTTGTTTATTTCCCCTGCCCCACACACACCCCACCCTTCCAATCCAGCTAGGGAAAAAAAAGCCACCTAGACTTTGGCAAGACCTGTGAGCAGAGGAAGTGGCCCATACAGCTGCCAAGTTCTATTACTGCTTTCCTCTTTCATCCTTCCTTCAAACAATATATTTTAGAGACTTGAGAGTTCATAGAAAAGCAACTGACATTCACCCTTCCATTACCAATGCAACCACATTTCCGGTAAACAAGTATGTACATGTGAAAAGTAATTTTATTGTTTTTTTTCTTTACAGTATATTACTCTGGATACTTGATACTACATATCTTGGGGTCTGTGAGGAATGATGGGTGCTTGTACATAACTGGCATAAATCCTGTAAAAAGAGAAGATGCAGGTTTTCTTAACAGAAAAACTGGTTTGATTTACGACACTCAAAAGCACAGTCAGACTTACCCAATACATGAGCTCTTTTAATGGCTTTTGTAATTTCCTTCTGCTTCTTGTTGCACAAGCCTAAAGAGATTAAGAATTTTTCAGTCTCCTAAATCAACAGTAACCAAAACAATAGTTGAAAAGGTTATTACTGACAATTCCCTCTAGCTTTGTGTAAGTCTTCCTAGAAAATGGCACACGTGCTTATACTGTTGAACGCAAAATGCGTATCATGAGGGATATTTTCATTCTTTGGTGAAGGCTACTAAGTCAGAGGAACACTACTATAAAATGTATAGAGTTGGTAGTAGTTACTTTTGGAAAGACAGCTGATACAGTTACTTAAGACTCATAAAAACATTCATTTAAATTAACCAGTAAATTATTTCACATACCTGTTATATGCCTGCCATAAATGCAGCCAGTATGCGGAGAAACAAACTGGGAAAGAAGCTACTTAAAATGAAGAAATCCAAAATCAGTTTAAAAACTTTTTAGAAAGCTTTAGTTTATTTTAATACTTGCATTCTGATTTTCATTTTTCAATCTCTTTTTACAAAACTCAGTTCTACCTGGGCACGAGAAAAAGGATAGCTGGGAGCTAGACAGTATTTCATATGCCACAACATTTAAGCTACATGACTGGAATTAGAATTGAAGCCTCTACTCGGTAAATAATAAAGTTGTAACACCTGCACATAGGACTAATAAATTGAACAGTTGATCCCAACTACATTATTTCACCCTTATCTGCACACATTCTTAAGTTTTAAACTCCTTCCTGTAAGAATTAGCATTTCAGTTTTTTAATCCTGTGGACTTCCACACGCACATTTTAAAATAGTAAAACTGTTACCTTCATCTAAGGACAGAAGTTTTCAAACTCACCTGCACATTCTTGTAGTCTACATTTATTCCACATAAGATGCATCTTTTAGGAGGCTCTTTATAGGGGTTCTCCATTTGTATGGGCTGAAATTAAGAGAATTATTGACATGCATAAGCTTCAGAATGTTTATTAGCTTTGTCCATTGTGTAAAACAAGCCTTGAAACCAAGATGTATTTACAGAATCATAGAACTATACTTAGTGCATCATTAAAGTTTTTCAGTAACTTTTATTTCACTACCACACTGCTCAGTACCCAACAATCTAAACTTCTCATGGCTACACAGCCTTTAATATGTTAAAAATAACAAAAATGTAACTAGTTAATTAAAGCAATCAGCAAGTTAGTGCTTATGCCTTACTGAAAAGGCAGCATCTACAGAAGCTGCTAGTAAGGTAGTTCTGGTGAAGCATAAGAGACTTTTTAAAAAATAGTTTCAAAGCAAAGGTCTGGAGGGAGCTACTGCCTAATCACACACTTCAATGGTTGGGGAGATTCCCAAACATCTCCTTAAACTTCAGAACACACCCAGCACTAAATCCCTGCAAGACACGAGTGAAAGAGAAACTTAATTTTGGCAGCACAGGTAGGATTTGGGCAGAAAAATAGTACTTTTTACCAGTTTTTGCTGGTACCAGACAACACGTTTTTATGGCACAGCAATCATGCCTAGTGCATTCTCTTAAAAGTCCTCTTCTCAGCCGTGAACGGGGAACCAGTTAGTGCTGCCGAGACAGCGGGATTACGGGACCACAACCGGGCGCTGGCCTGTCGATCAGCGGGTGCCGCTCCCTGGCGCTCAGTGACCGACCTCGGCCTCTGAGCGGCCCGAGCTGCAGCGAAGCCTCCCCGCACACCCTGCGGCGGCCGCGGCCCGGGCGGGCAGGGCCTGCAGGGGCCTCACCTGGTCG